GAGTTTCTTGTAGCAGACACAGACCCAGAGCCATACCTGTTTGAGCCGGAGCATACAGATGAGGAACTCCATGTGTTTGATGCTGAGCGGGTGAGAAGAGAGGCTGAATGCACAGAATGGGATTCGGTGCTACTGCTACCATCGTTGGGGAGATATATCAACAGGAGGAAAAGCACAACAGAGAGTGCATCACAAGGAATGAAGATACGTCATCTTTTCCTCGCAGATGACAGTACGGGTTCATTCTCTCCTGTTGCGTAGTAAGTGTGGTCCATTCACAAACTTTATAACTAAAAAAACTTTTCACTACTCTCTATCGACGAACTACTAACACTCTGCTGTTTCCTAGAGCATATCTAGTCTCATCATCATATCAATATAATATCAATATATTACCAAACCTGGCATTCCAGTATGACCTCCTGAATATTTCACTCTTTGACATTAATTTTTGAAACAAAGCCTGAGAGAAGAAGATCATGTGTGACGTGCAGCTGAGGAGCATCCTGCAGGCTTTAACATGCTCCTGAAGAACCCAAAGGACGTTAACAACATGACACCACTCACCTGTGTCATGTTGTTAACGTCACACACTTCAGGATGGAGATTTGTTTCAAACACACACAACATGGTCGCAACAGATAAACACATCTGATGTCACCGAACGTTCATGTGTGAAGATTAGGGATGCACAGATTTATCAGCCGAACATGGTTATCGGCCGATATCCTCCTTGGCGACCGTTCTCAGCCGACAGCAGCAGTCTATGTTTTTCTGTTGTGTCTCAAGCTGACAAGCAGAGCTACAGGATAACAGCCTCCCATCATCCCGGGGACAATAAAAGACATGTTTGGGACGAACAGAGATCTTCCACTGGACGCTGTCGAGACAGAAGGACGCAGTAAACTCAATATGGACCTGTCAGAGGACGCAGCCTGTTGTTTACCTGATGATGCTACATCATGAACAACAAATCTGTGATGACATCAGCAGGAGGAGAGCTACTTAATGTTAGCTGTTAGGTGTTAGCAGCTAGTTTATGTTAGGTGTTAGCAGCTAGTTTATGTTAGCTGTTAGCAGCTAGTTAATGTTAGCTGTTAGGTGTTAGCAGCTAATTTATGTTAGCTGTTAGCAGCTAGTTAATGTTAGCTGTTAGGTGTTAGCATC